AAGCGCAAGGAAAGCTGTGCGGTAAAACAAAATTTCCGACAAAACTTTTTTGTTATTGCATTTTGTGCAAAAAACTTCATAGGATAGCTAAAGATAATTTTTAAAATATAAATCTCAAATGTTTTTGCACATAAATGCGATTCCTTCAACTTAGCTTCACTTGAATCTGAAGAATTTTGGACAAAATTTTCCACTTCTGGAAGGGATATCTTCTATTCATTCGTTTACTTATTTTACAGTTCCTCCATATTATAATCAAAATAAATAAGCAGTTTGGTTCTGTCTTTTGTAATGACATAGGAAATTCCTTCGATATGAGATTACTCCCAATTTCGTCAACTTTACTGGCTATTTCTCCTTATAAACCTAACTAAAATGATGATTTTCCTAACTGAAAGGCTTTCGCAGAATTGAATCTACTCAATGAGTCAAAATAGTCTTACAAAATATATGCTTAAGTACCAAGCAAAAATTTCAGTTGCAAAGTCTTTAGCGGCCACTGTTCACTGCGCACGATTGCGTCATCAAACTGCAATTTAAGCATACTTGTGTAAATAACCACCAACTTGCCGTCCGTGTTCTCACTTAGGCATTAAAGCATCACCTTGAAAACATTCTTCAACGCTATGTTCAAAAACATGTGATAAGGTCGGCTGTTTTCTCCGATTTTATGACTGCAAACATCGCATTCTGACGTCAATCAGTCACAATAAATCATTCACATTTTGACGATGGAAGTAAAGGGCAAAACGTCTTTTACAAAAGGTTAAATATTTACATCACACTTTGCTGAACTCTTTTAAAAACTCCTGTACACGTTAATAGCAATGATATCACAGGAACGACCTCAATGCCGTACTGGCTTGGGATGTACAATTATAGAGATAGAGATAAGACAATAATATTGTGGCTCTTATAACATGGTTAATTAGTTGACGCCCTATATTTTATTTTTAAGGGAGGATTCATTTATACGAATGAGCAGCACTACCTGGTTTATAATTAATCCACTTTTTAACTCACTGCCGATAAGACAAGCAAATATTGTTATCTGGTTTTATAGGATTTCATAATCGCTTTTAATAATATGGCTCGTACTGTGTCTATTCCATATAACGTCGCAAAAGGGGGGACTACGCAAGAGGGTGCATTTATTCACTACTTTCGTGGCGCCATAAAATGTAAGTCCTATAAGGATAGCAAATTCTGCGGAAATGGTATGACAGCTATGGTAGCTTAACAGCTGATTTATTGAATCTCAGCCTAGAGAGTACTGCGAAAACATGCTTCCAAAGAATCGTTTATAATATTGAGTTGGCGCCAAAATGGGCCATCTTAAATTGGATAAGAACTTGTTCTATCATAGTATGGTATGTCTTATATTTATCTGCAGTTATGCACTTAAGAGTTTGAGACAAGTCCCATTTCAGCTGCTGCGATCTCCCCGTTCGCATGTTATAGGCTATGAAATGTTGAATGAAAGTCCGAAATGTGGGTTTGATTAGAAAATAGTAATTCAGTAAATTTTTAACATGAACTAATGTACAGCATAATCCCAATATACCTCATTTAAGTCAAGATAAAGGCTTTTAAACAGGTTTTTTCCGGTCGCATTAAAAAAACATATTCCGCCGACGAGGGCTGCTTAGAGAGAAGGTTTAATCATTTATTTTTAACGCCCTTATTAAATAAAATAAAGTTCACTGAAGACAGGCATAAATGCATTCTATTTTTATTCATTGGATATTAAATTGCCGTTTCCTTAGAGTTCACTCCTAAAGATTGGATATCCTGAGGAGTATAACTATAAGCTATTTTTGAACTGTTAAAGCTACATTAATAAAGCATCATTTCCCTGCATATACCAATGCTACTTGTACAGTAAAAGTTTGGTCCACGTTCACTACAAAACTTTACAAGCATATATTAACTATCCTTAATTGCGTATATAAATGCACGACTTTTCTTAGACAGGAAGTATGCAGGTTGCAATTTGCGGACCCAAAATACCCCCTTTTAAATCATACAGTTTGAAGAAAATATAATGTACTAAGAAAATAGTACAAAATATATAGTTATGCACGTTTTCTATAAAAAAATACAATATTTTATAAATTTATTGAAAATTCGTGTGAACGTGTAGTTTTCAGGTAGCCCTTTCCGACAGTGTGCTGTACATAAAGGTAGTTTGAAAGAACCCTATCCAAAACCAGCATCCTGACTTGACTGAAATGTCTTAGGATTATGCTATAAAAAGTTAATATTACAACATAACCTAAGTAATTATTTCAAATCGAAAACCACTTCAAATTCCCGCTAAGCTTTCATGAGATAACCTGTATACTGTATGGCCATATACCAAACTACAGATATATTTAAAAGATCACCGAAATTTAAGCCTTTTTTAAGGACTGAAACATCTTTGCTGTTGGGTTTTGAAGATGAGAAAAATAAACAGAACATTCTTCGTTGGTTAAACATTTAAATGATAAAGTTAACAAAGTTAAAAAAACCTTGGCATTAGACAAAAGCTTCGCACACTCATTGACTGAGAAAATAAGGCGATATCTTGTTACAAGCAATAGTAATTATAACAAAGTGGAGACAAATGGAAAAGACGCATGTTGCTTACATTTGTAAAGTCGAATTTTCAGTACTGGATTTTCAGGATATCGTTCATAAACTGGATTTCTGCCATAGCTATCCCATAGGATTTGTAAAAGGAATACATTCTTATCTTCGGGCAGATTTTATGCATTGAGCAATAGTAACAAAAAAGGGGCCAGAATTGTTGTCTTTATTGTTTTTGAAAATGAGAACAAACACTAAGTGGATGGCCTTGCTGGGATTTACTGATAGTTCGGCCATCGGTTTCTATGAAGTCCACCATATGCACCAAAAAGTTGGTAAAGTGACGGTGACCGGCTACAGAGGGTAGATTAGAGTGATAGCGGACTTATTTAGCGCCAAATACACTCTTTACCTTCAATATGGGTTAAGAAGAACAGATTGGATCCAGCGTTGATCGCCTCATCCAATGCAAGGCAGAAAAAACGGCTAAATTAGGGTTAAGTGACTCTGTACGGGTACTACCGCACTATCTACCCTAACTCGCCTTAAGTGGGTGTCAAAGCAGGCTCAATAAGGCCGAGACGGATACGGCTACTCCTCCTTCTACTACTACTACTTGCTAGCAATGTAGCTACGCGTTAGTAGTACAAATACTAACACTGACGCCAACATTTGTCAGGGATGACGCAGATTAGAGCCATTGCTGGGGTTCATACTCCCCTGTACCTCAACAAGGAGTGCAGTTCTGGGTTTAAACTATTTCGAGTAAGTACATGTTTGGGGCTCTGAGCACAACAAAACTTGCTTTTGTCTCCACTTTTTCGACCCTAGCCATCAGGCTGTGTCCGTTTCTACTTCGTTCGGACTACGTTACTGCTGCTAGAAGTACTTGCCTATGCTAGGATGCTAATTCTAGTAATAATGCTTACCAAAGCCAGTAAATAGTATACTATAATGCAACCTGTGCGTGGCGCCTTCTTAACTTCAGTTGGGCCGATTTTTCAGAACCCCGGACGTGCGTTCACGTCCGGTAGATAAGTAAGACTGGGACTTACTACGGTCAATTTAGTGTACTGCCAATCGTCATACTTTTGGAAAACACGGTAAGTTAGCACAAGCTCAACTTTAACGAGAATATATGGATCCTGTCTATGCCTGCTCTTAAGCTAGAAACTGTAAAAGTTTGAAAGAATAAATTCAATTGATTAACCATCTTCTAACTCTTCACTGAGTTTTCTTTGGAAACACAGCGTAAATACTTAATGGAAGACAATGTGTACAGTAATTATTTTCCATTTTATCGTATCCTTTAATAAAAGGTTGGATGAGGTAAAAGGAGCTAGATGTAAACTGTCAGCGTACTGTGCTGCCACTTACCTGACATTTATGATTTATTCAGCACTAATCTTCTGTAATGCGGCAAGCGTCCTGTAGAATTTAGCCGGTGTCACCCGTTGACGCTAAAAACGAAAAAAATGCTTTGTTTACCATGTTTTATTTTTTTCTCTACTGAATTCTATGAAATATTTAGTACAAAAGGCGGCAGAATTTACAGCATTCCCATGTTAAATCACCAATATTAAAGTGCGTTTCACAGAGTCTCTTGACAATCTATGATTTTTCCGATATTGTGAGTCCTGCTTTAAAAAGTAATTAACCCCCTTTGGTCTGAGCCGCTTTGTTTATTGTTACTAGCAATGTAAAATTTGAACATCGTCTGGCATCCGACGTACTTCATTTTCATACATTTGGTATCCCGTCCTAGTAGGAACAGCGCTAAACATTCCCTTAGTTATGGCATGAGTGCGCAAGTTAACTTTATTGATAGAATTTGCTTTTAATTTACGCAAACGAGTTTACTTAATGCAGTAAAATGTAGTGTCAAGTCTCATAAGAGTTAGTTCTTGTCATAGAAAAAATAAATTGGGACCTTCAAATTTTGTATCCTATCGTCGTTTTCGTGTCTCAAAAATTGCAACAATCTTCATGTTAAAAATATAAACATCCGTTCAGTTAAAAGTTTGTGACACAAGATAATAGAGTTCCAGAAAGTCTCAATATAGCCATAAATCCGGTTCTTGCTAATCACTCTAATTGATGAAAGCTTGTAACAAAAATATAAAGAAAAACGATTTTTGCATTAGGTTAGAAAAATATCCATGTCTGAGCTGCTACGTTATTTCACCGGAACACATGCCCCCCACTTTTTGCTCTTAAGGATCAGATCAAACTTCATTTTTTCTTTCACTTATATTTTTGGTCATTTCACCCGTGCAGACTAAGGTACGACCGATTTTGCTTCATGCAACAAACCGTTCTGAACACCTGTCCAGATATAATTACTTGTTTATTCCGTTCTTAGGAAAATCGTAATAATTTACCTAGCAGTAACGGTGTAAAGTTACAATGGTATGAAAGTCACTTAATGATTACAGATCTGCAAATTTTCCGTTTCTGGTAAGTTCAAATATTATTTTCAAATTGTTACAGGCCTTTATAAAATTCATAATAGAAAACTCACGATGAATCAACTCCTACAAAAATAGAGGTTTAAAATAAGGCATACACAGTGTTATTTAATCCTCATATCATAAAGTGTTTTTCGGTCGTCTTGTCCATAAATACGATTTAAGTTTTACCCATGGACATCTTGCAGCAATAAATGGGTATAATTTGAAACTTAACGTTAAATTTTTGTTTTTTTTGAAATCCAAATGAGAGGAAATAATTTATTATTAAAAGTGACCGCTTATGAACTTCATATGAGATTCACACCATAGGTTCTATATTTGATCTGATTCAAACTTGTCTCCATCCTTTATGTTGATTACAAATTCTCCGTATGTGATTGTTTTCAAGCTCAATGTGGTTAATACTATGCCACACATACAACCTATATCTTTAGTTTTGCGTTCTATAATTAAAAAAATATCCCTGGTATTCCGACCGAATTATGAAACCTAACTTGCTTCTGTATATTTATTTGCCTTCTGCAGGGGAAACTTCAAAATGTATGTGACGAAAAGTGCGCTTATATAGATATTTTGGTACGTTTGGTGCGTACCTGAATTGTGAGACTAGTTTATACTAATGGGGCTCGAATATAGAGCAGATCTGACATTTGGAAATGTCCCAAAATTTTGTCCTACCAAAACGGTTGTCATAGGGTTTAGGGTGAGCGGAAAAATAGGATAGGCAGAGAAACATTTTTTAGAAGTAAGTTTAAAGTGAAAAAATGCAGACGAAGTCGTTTCTCGCGGCCGCTGGTAGGTTGTTCCGCATGTAAATTGAATGTGTGCGCGCCGTTTTGGTAGAAAAACATGCTGAGAGTATGGATTAATGAGGGGGATGGCATAAGCTACCGTCAGCTTGAAAATTAATTGAGCATATCAAATCACAAGGACGAAAATGTAAATCTAGCATCAGCTGTCATTTTGAAAAAAAAACATTGTTGGGTTGTGGCGGTGTATTCTCAGTCAAACACTAGCCTGTATGATAGGAGGCACTATACCGTTTGCTTTGCCTGCACTGCGATTAAATGTCCTTTGTTCCCTCCTCCGCCCCCCTTTATCAGGCTTGACAGGCTTTCACTGTAACAGGTATTGCCTTGCTGTGATAACTACCTCCCCCCTCCTCTACTTCCTAACCATGCCCCCACAAAAACTAATAGTTCCTCCTCTATTTACATATCAAGATTCACCATCCTAGATTGATACTTAATTGGACAGTTATTGTATCTTATTAACTGGCAATGCCCGTTTGCAGTTGAATAAGAGGTATCGAAATTGTATGACGTCTGTAAATTTGGCTAGTCTCATGACCTTTGACTTGTTTGTTCCGTGAAAAAACGTTTTTCAATTTCATAAATGTATAGTTTAGATATTTTGGTCAGTTATCATATGCAGCATAATGAGAGGCAATATGAGGATATTTTAGTCAGCGCACTTACCTTATCTCTTGCGGCTTGTGCATGCTTATGAAATCTCGCAAGAAATTCTTGAAGGTCGTCCTGTTCTGGGATGCCCCTTCGTCTAAATGGGCCGGCCAAATAAGCTGGAGGCCCTAGCTCCTCCTGCTCCTCCTCCCCCTCTCCGTCATCATCTTCTTCATCCTCCTCGTAAGTGCCCATTTGCGGCACTTTGCCCCTACGTCCGTTCAGATAGTCACTCAGCAGTCCCAATTGGTAGAGTTCACGAGCCGTTGGTGAGATTTCAGCGGTTTGAGCATGAACTACGCGGGGCAGCGGCCTAACAAATGGAGTGCGATGCGAATTGCGTGAGAAAAATGCCAACCGGTCACGTGCTTTCTCGTACTCCTCACCTTCACTCTCACCTCCATCCTCTCCTTGCTTTTGCCCCTGCCTCTTCTTCTCCTTTTTGGTATGGTCACTTAACAATGCCGTCGATGGCGTACCCATAAGTTCATTGGCTTTATGTTGGAGCGTTGCGGCTGTAACAAAAGCACTTTTAGCCTTCCCAAGAAGGATTTTGGCGTAGAGGTCTTCAACTTCAGCTGCCTTTTGGAGCATTTTTGCCTCATGCAGCTCACGCATCAGGTCGTACAATGCCCGCCCCTCATGGGCGTCTCCACTGGGTTCGGTCGATGCTTCAGAGTCGAATTCGAGATCGGATGAACGAGGCTTACGAATACGAGCTTCCCAGGGTGCATCGCTGTCAAGATAAAATTTGTGGCTTCTTGAAATCGCAGTGGTAGTGGTTGCCACTGCTACCAGAAGAAGCTGGAAAATGGGACCGACTTGCATGACGAGGCAAGCTCCTTTGAGAACGCAAAGCTCTGCTTTCTGCCTTCCAAGTCTGGTGTAGGCTAGAGCACCGAGTTATGCAGACGTTTACGCGGGATGGAAAATCGCCCTAATCCACCGTATGCTCAGCCTGCGGTGACCTTGGAAGTAGTGCCTGTATTGGTGGATTCTGGCTGTCTTGCATTCTTGCACGAGGGCTGGTTTTCCTATCAAATGCCCACCTAGCCAATCATATGACTACCTTAAAAGACGTGGCCCAGGCAGCGACACAGATGCATATTGCCCTAGCGTTAACTTGCAAACTACATTTGTTTAGACCAGAATGCTGCCTTTCAATATTTATACAAATTTATTTCCAGTTTTTTTTTATAAAATAAAGAATAAATGTAAGATAAACCATTAACGCCTAAGGAAAACTATCCAAGAAATACAAAAGTGAAGGGTTGATGCAAGCCTGCATTTTTAAGGCTCATTTAAATGCTAGGTTCCACGTTCAAAGAGTCCAGGCACGTAGTGCACAGAGGGTTCTGTCCAAAACGTTTTGCGTCAACACAGCACAGTAACAGTTGATTATGCTTGGCATTTAAAATGACCATGAACGCAGGGGACTCATGAGAGTCTCAGATAAACGAATGAAGAGTAGTTTGCTTATAGAAGCGAAGAGGCGATTTCTAGAAGGTAATAGTACAGAAGGAGACATAATCACTGGGAAAAGAGCCCTACCAGCCGGGCGTTTCGGACTCTCACTCGTATTCATCATCAGATACAATCTCAGAAAAGGGTAACAAGGGACGACTGTCGCTGTAAATGTAAGTCAAAACGCATACTAAAAATATTGTTCCGGTGATAGTTTCTTCTTCTTTGTAAAAATTACTATGTCTGGAGCATGGAACACTTTCAACAATAAAACTATAACCTAGTAATACTAGCGGGAAGTTGGCATTTAACTGAACTAACTTCAGATTTAGGCATTTGTCCCATTTGATCGGCATTTTACAGCACGTTATAGCTCCCAGAAAACAAAAAAATCCTAGCTTCAGATATGCTTTAAAGCTGATTCTTTTAAACTGTACAATCCACAAATCTCTTAAAGGCATTTAAATAGAAGGATAAGCAAATTCGTGAAGATTGACGACCCTCCTGCTGGTAATTGTCTTCGTAGGATGGTCGAAAATGTTGACCCAAAATAGTTTATTTGTTGATACCAATGTACTAAAGGAAAGCAAAACAGTTTTGGCAAACGTCCAGGTTTTATCATGCACGTGTGTTTTACTACCTTTTGGCGTGTGGATGACGAAAGCTCGTATGTTTTTGTGTCTGCTGCTATGCCAGGACCCTATTATAAATGATAAAATATAAAACTTACATGGATTTTGGAATGAACACGTCATTTTCATATCCGCGAAACGCGGGTAAAGCTAAGTATAAAGAATCCGACTGTTTGCAGTAACCGAGGCGGGTTTTCAGTTTAACAAATATTGATTTAAAAGTTGCGGAATGTTCTTCCGTAAGATGCTGTAATAAGGTTAATAGAAAAAAACCTGTGCCTAAGCTCACCAAAGTTTCTAGGGCATTAGCAGATACATAGTACCTGTGACAGGCATTCATGTCCTTCTATTACTCCATTACGCAAAAACTTTGAACCTCTATTTGAGTACAGTTAGTTATGTTTAGATTCAGGTAATTGCAACTAAGGGATTGTTACGCATACTCGCTTTGAAACTTTTTAGCATTAGTTTATTAATTTTGAGGCGGAGAACCACACGATAGCGTAAGCAGAAAGGACAAAATATTCAACAAGCCGGCATGATAAGTGATCTTGTTAATGAGTCTAGTCACAGAGAATATCTATCAATGGTAACTTTGAGTCGAATTGGAAAACTTGTGAACTCCAAAAACGTAGTCAGCATTTTGGTTTGGAAACTGATTTGGAAGCATTTTCCACGCACTCAAAGCATCATGATCATCAACGTCCCTTTTACAAGAGTAGTTACGTCTGTGTATAAGAAAAGATTCATAAGCCGCTGAATTTAAAATGCATAGTCTGGCCTGCTTTGGCTTTGTCGTTCCATAGCAATATCAAATAGCCCTCTCTGTGTTAACGCCCATTTTCCTATGACGACATGCACAATGTTGTTTTACTGGAGTTTTGCTATTAGCATTCCTTTTTAACTTGAAGGTTGCTCTTTATTTTTTGTTAATATCACTCTTAATTTTGCTGCTATACAACCACCTACAAGAACAAATTTTGCGTGATTTTTTTTACTGTTTTCTTGTACACATTGAAGTGCTTGTTCACTGTGAGTCCCACTTTCTAAACCCTCATACAAACATTACCGTTTTACATGATCTTGAAGTTAGTGATGGCTAAGGATGCTTGCTTAACCCCCAGTTGCATTTTTCTGTGATTATGTCTTACTATGAGACAAGCATATGGCTTAAGTCGATGTTGCCCTACGTGCAATAAGCTGTCCACTGCAGACATTCAACACTTTTAAGAACTGCCCAGGCTTGATGATTTCTTGTGGTGTATCGGGAAACCTAAAACCTGTAGAAGACGCACTTCATTTGTACTAAGCAAAGTAAAGTTATGTATATATTCTATTCAGTTACCTGGGCCTCGCATATTTTTGACCATTGAGAATATATATACATATATATATCAAAAATCATTCAGTATATTAAAAACATAAAAACTGCAAACAACCTGACTGTGCAAATATACTAGAGACTGACCCCTGTCATATATTAACATGAACAATTGAAAAGCCTTACATTTTATATTTATTAGTACATTTTGTTATCTGTCATTTTGCAAGTTCCTAGGTTGAGCTCCATTCGCTTAAACTGTAAGCTTCTATATTATAATGCATTACTTTGCCGACTTTCAGATTTCAACAAACTATAACGATTTGAGTAAAATGTAGAGACTTAGCGATTCCTTTCTTCCTTCCGTTTTAGGGATATTCATTCTCCCTTAGAGAAATATTTTAACGAATTTATGAGAAATTTTACCTACATTTCTTATATGCATGGCAATAGATATGTCACACTCCTAGTGTCGACATTATCTAAACCTCTATTTTGCAAATTTTCATCTGGCAGCTGTGAAGTGCTTGACGTTCGCATCGGTCAACAGCGTGCTTTCTGTGGTTTTTGGCCCACGAATTCAATGTTTGAATGTCAGGTTTGTAATTTTGGAAATAAATGGGATTCACTGCCTAAACATATAACAAGAGACTGCTTAGCTTATGAATTACGCCTATGTTTCTACAAATACATGAAAAAAGGTCTTCAGAAAATCTAGTATTCGTAGATTTTAAATAGAGTAACACTTGTCCATCGTCAGACATTATGAAAAATTGGGATGGTATTTTTGCACAAAACACTCCAGTGTGACAAGCACATTCCAAATTTTTCCTTGAATCTGAAGACGAGCAAGTGATACTTGCTTGAAAATTCACAAGTACAACTCGATTTTCCGAAGACCTTTATTTTCATTATATCACCTCCGAATGCAAACCACTTCACTTTCCAACAAATATGTATAAAATAGAAACTGATCGAGTGCGTTCACTGAAACATCAAGGAAAACTGAACGGGCTCTAGTTAACGGGGTAGAGAAAAAAATCATTGAGGGTAATATGATACTGATTCTAGCTAATAATTTATCTTAAGTAGAAATAGTGAAATGTAGGCAATTCACGTCAAGAGTGCTCGGCAGAATACATCATGCAAAAATGCCCATGAGCAAAGGGAAAGAAAAATAGGTTAATATAAAAATTATTCTACACACTTTCTTTAATACAGCAGAAAGTATTTTTAAATGCATTTCAGCAGTCAGTCAATTATTTTGTGCTTAATGAAGCATTATAACCTAACTAGCGCGGAAGCCCGGCTTCGCCTTGGGCTTCCTTTCATGTTGCTGTCCC